AGTTCAGACGTTAAGGGCACGAAATGTTCCCTGTCTCGGGGAGTGTGACACAGTTTTGTTTGTAGCGTCATGTACTGGTTTCCATAGAGATTTTATCCTGGAATATCTGTATTTTCCCCAAAACTTTTTATATGAATGTCGTCACAGGCTAGTATATGGGCGCATGGCGTGGAAGTTGAATGTGTGGCTGCATAGCTGAAACCCAAGCTACGTAGTTCAGCGCATCGCACAAAGAAAAAACAACATCGCGTTCATAGTTCAGTTTCCACTTCTTGCGGCAGAAACCTGTTTTGTGACGGCGACCAGTTTTATTCATAAGAACACAGTTTTGGAGTGCTCGTTCAGATACATCCAGGTAAAGTACATTTTGCAGAGTGATGACGTACCCAAGAAGGCTAATAAGCCAGATGGACCGAAGAGGGTACGGTTCAAAACCGAGCTAAAGGAGCCAAAGAAGGAGTTAATGTTCGTGTCGGCTATTGGATTTACGCCATATCTTCGACTTCATGAAGGATTTACGTGTTTGGATTTCAGTGACGAGCTTTTGGATTTGCCTCCTGTCCGGCCATGTGATCGTACTGTCAAGACGGAGCCAGATGAACCTACTCCTCCAGTTCATCTGAACTCTCAACCGTCCAAGAGAAAGGCAGGATCGGGTGGAGGCCCTCATATCGATTCTAAAAGAAAACGGTCTCCTCCCAAATCACATGATGAAGACCTGAGATCTCTTGCCGCTCATGCTACGTAAGTCTTAAAAACCATTAAAATTCGTTTCATACTCTACATTTCATTCGTTTTCGTTTCGTCACCTTTTTTGCCGCGTGGGACGTTGCGTCCCACTGCTGGGATGCGGCATGGGTAAAAAACCAATTTGAAGACGTTTCGAATTTTCAACAGCTGCATATTGTCCATGAAGGCATTGTAGAATATACAGTAGCTGTAAACCGTGCAGTTGTGTCATTGAGAGTATTTTACCGAGGAGACAAACGAAAGTGATTTCCTAGGGAAAAAAAGATAATTCTTGGATATATAGAACTGAAGCTCCACATGCAGATAGCTAATGTGATAAGGTAACTTTCAATAGCAGATCTGAATCGAATCCAATTTACCACCTCTGGCGCGAAAATATTCCTTTTTGCGACCTTGTTCCCACGCTCCAAAACCAGATAGAGAGGGTGCAGGTCTCCTGGATACAGTAATACTTTCAACAATTATAACTTCCATTTTGATGGTAATGGAATATCTTTTAGTGGTCATATGTTATTTGAAACGGTTGCGTATGGGTAGCGATCTGTTCTCAGAAAGAACAAGAAAAGGAAATAGTGATAGCATTGCTGATCAAAAACATGACCAAAGTGCTATCTTCGGTTGATTTCAGGTTAACCCTCGATGAATTAGTGAACAACAACAAAACACAGATAAATCTTTTAACTATATTGGCGGAGGATTATCAACAACACGCAGCTTCCATAGTTGACACTATAGAGAAACAGATTTATACAGTGAGTTTTGGTGTATCTCTCTTTGGCGGCGGTTTTTTCCTACCGGGAATTCTGATGCTACCGAACAACCAGACACTGCAGAATTGAGCGCATCGACTCTGACGTGGTTGGGAGGTGAGGGACACTCGCCTTCGCCTCTGTATCACTTGCACAAATGGCATAGTTTAAGGGCACGGACGATCGGAATCACCGAGGGATTGTCCCGCCGAGTAGACTTGGTCTTTATCAATTGTAAATCTGAAGTGATTAGAGGAAAGCATGCGGAGGTGCTAACGAGTGCCCCTCACCCTCCCCAAGTAGACGGTGCCTACTATCCAATTCTGCAGTGTCGTGGAGAAAGAGCGCAGCCTAACCAACTGACTTTTTTGAAACAGCTGGATTTGATAATCAGGAAAGTGATAGTGTTCCCAGATAGATATCGATTGACATATTTCAGCAATATTCGGGATAAATTTTGTTGCTATCACTCTATTTATAGGTGCCAAAAGCTCAAAAGTTACCGATAATGTATGTTGCTGATTCGATAATGAAGAATATACCAAATAGTGATTATAAGGAATTGTTTGCGAAAATAGTAGTGCGGATCTTCGTCCATGTCTTTTTAGAGGTATGTTTCAATTGTAACTATTCGAAGGTTTGCCTCTGTTAAAATCATGTACAGTTCCAGGGCGATGAAGTGGTTCGAGCCGCCATGTACCGCCTTCGGCAAACATGGGGTGACATTTTCAATCGATCGAAGCTTTATCAACTGGACATCAAAGTGAACGAAATCGATCGAGCCTGGCCGCTCACTGCTTTGAAGCAGCCTGCAAAACCCCCTGTCATTACGAATCCAGCACCAACACCGCCAGCTCCTGCTGCACCGTCTATCAAACCAGTTCATGGCAAAGTACACATCAATCCCAAGTTTATTCAGAACAACGGACAGAATGCTGCGGTATTTAATTTTGTACTGATGACCCTGTTTCAAATAAAATATACTTTCGTTGCCCCTTTATATTATATTTATAAAAATTTAAAGGACGGATTTATGAATCAGTGTTATGTTGTTTCGTATACATTGGTCCGCAACTTATAAAAACGCCCACGAATGGTAGTCGAAGTGCAAATCTGGCAAGACGCTGCCAACTAAACTGGGTCGTATATAGAGGAACCTTATGAGGCACTTGAATCATGTCATCTATTCACATCATTACAGCTCTACAAAGGTTTAGGGCTATGTGGCTTTTACTGTGATATCGACATAGTATGATCGCTTCCACACTTTCAGCTGTCTTTTAGCCCATGCATTTGTAAATAGACGTTGACTGTTGAAAGCACAAGAACGGTGTTCATTTCAGTGGCGAGGGGCAAGTTGAAGTTTAGTGGTTTGAAAGTTTCAACATCAGTTCCTAGTACTTCTGAACGTCTACGTGTAGTTATCTGGTGATATCCAAGTGCTTGACGGTTCTTCGGAGTTCAGACGTTAAGGGCACGAAATGTTCCCTGTCTCGGGGAGTGTGACACAGTTTTGTTTGTAGCGTCATGTACTGGTTTCCATAGAGATTTTATCCTGGAATATCTGTATTTTCCCCAAAACTTTTATATGAATGTCGTCACAGGCTAGTATATGGGCGCATGGCGTGGAAGTTGAATGTGTGGCTGCATAGCTGAAACCCAGCTACGTAGTTCAGCGCATCGCACAAAGAAAAAACAACATCGCGTTCATAGTTCAGTTTCCACTTCTTGCGGCAGAAACCTGTTTTGTGACGGCGACCAGTTTTATTCATAAGAACACAGTTTTGGAGTGCTCGTTCAGATACATCCAGGTAAAGTACATTTTGCAGAGTGATGACGTACCCAAGAAGGCTAATAAGCCAGATGGACCGAAGAGGGTACGGTTCAAAACCGAGCTAAAGGAGCCAAAGAAGGAGTTAATGTTCGTGTCGGCTATTGGATTTACGCCATATCTTCGACTTCGTGAAGGATTTACGTGTTTGGATTTCAGTGACGAGCTTTTGGATTTGCCTCCTGTCCGGCCATGTGATCGTACTGTCAAGACGGAGCCAGATGAACCTACTCCTCCAGTTCATCTGAACTCTCAACCGTCCAAGAGAAAGGCAGGATCGGGTGGAGGCCCTCATATCGATTCTAAAAGAAAACGGTCTCCTCCCAAATCACATGATGAAGACCTGAGATCTCTTGCCGCTCATGCTACGTAAGTCTTAAAAACCATTAAAATTTCGTTTCATACTCTACATTTCATTCGTTTTCGTTTTATGCGCTATCCGTCTAGACTTGTAAGTTAGTGGCGTACTGATGCAAAATCAGCTTTGTCCTCCTCGTTTCGGTGTAAGGTATTGTACAGAGCTACTTCGCAATTCTAGAATAGATTTTGATAAGTATTGGTAGCGGGAATTGGTGAGCCAAGTGGGGGAAGTCGGCGCCATCGCGAAAAAAGATATGTTCGGATTTTGCTAGCATAGCCCAGTTAAGATTGGCGGAACTGGTGTAGCTGGCGTTTCGCCCTATCACTTCGTAGGTGCAGAAAAGTCAAACACGTATCGAACCAGCTATCAAACCTTCCGCAAACCGCTGGATTCGCCTGTTCAATTCGCCGACTTTCCCTGTCAATACGAATCGGAACCCTGTAGAGGGATACGCTGTAATAGCCAGATTCGTACATTGCGAACAACGCTATGAACAAATGGAAAGATAGAGAAGAAGTACGCGGCTTTTCAAAAAGATTTACAGTTGCAAAGAACTCCCTTTTTCTGCGCTAGGTATGAAAGCGAAATCTGTGTGTTCACAGGATTTGAATGCATTCCAACAATTCTCACATCATACCGTGACACCCACACTCCATCTAACTATAAAAGAATCTGTTAAGCCAGTTTGCTAACAATAAACTATGTAATTCACTCGTTTTCAGCAAGGATACGGTCGTGAAGCCTACTCCTATTGTGGGCTCACACGCATTCACCGCTCAAGCCAAGTCTTCAATAGGGCGAGCTCACCAACAGCTCCCTCTGCCGGGACGATCATCGCCTATATTGCCATCTAGCGGGCATACGATCCCTGCTACGTGTTCTTCACAACTTCAGACTGCCGGACCAAGCCTTCCCATGCCTCCAAACTTTCATGTTACTCCCTCAATACCAGCTCCTGGAGGTCTTCCAATGCCTCCAAATTACCATCCTCCTGTTGCACCGTCAACATCAACCCTGCCCATGCCACCGAATTACCTCGCAGCGGCGCCCACGGTACCCGGTCCTGGTGGACTTCCCATGCCACCAAATTATGTGCCTGCTGGAAACTCTTTGCAACAAGCAGCACCGATTCGAGGGCCTAATGGGTTCCCAATGCCACCAGGATATCGTCCTGCAGCACCGACTGCTGCTGTTCTCACTCCTCCAACGCAAGCGCCTTCAGGGTCGAATGCGGTGAGCACAACCTTATTTTTCAATCGAACTGTCATAAAGAGAATAGATCACGTTCAGATTATAACTGCGGAAGCTCCCGTAAAACTGGACATTCCGTCAAACAATCGCATTTTCGTTGACGGGAAAGCACACGAAGTCGAGTACGTAAATGACATAGCAGTTATAGAGCGCAACGGCCTCCCTCACAAGTATGTTTTATTATCTATAGAGTTAAGCGCTCTGTAATATTGTACTGAGTGAGTTTTTTAAGGATTTTCTTCGCTGGAACTCCGCGTAATGTAATAATAGATGGTGTGCCGCATTTGCTACACTTCGGTGAATCGAAGGCTGTGATCATTGATGGACAAGAACACATCCTTCGGTTTGGAGCACCAAGCCGAGAGCTCTATCTGAACAATTTCTCTTTCAAAGGGCAATTTGGAGGTGGGTTCGGTGGTTTCTTGAGCACTATACTGGAATTTTGTTTTACTATGTCGGCGCTTCTTCATTAACTGTACAACCCTGTAATTATTGATTCCAGGTGCACCAATAGTGGCAACGATAAACGGTCGTCGACATGAAATCCGACTAGCAGGACCTGCTCCTGATGTCAAGATCAACCCAGATCCAGCCTATGAATTGACAGCAGAGTTGAATCGGATACGTGCTAACAAGAGTGAAAACAAGCCAGGTTGGAACATAATGGTAGTGAATCCGAGCGGTTCAGCACATATTTTGGTTTTCAGAGCCATCTTTGGATCCTTTCAATCTACTGAAGAAGCTCCAACAGAGCGGCTTTTTGAAAAAACCAGAGCCTGCTCCCGCTCCGGCTCCGAGTCCCTCTACGCGAGATAGGCTTCGGCATACTGCTACAATGTTGCGCGACACAACCCCACCGATTCCCAGTGAGCACAGGTAAGATCAAGTTTATAGTGGAAAGAAAACAGAGCAATATAGCCCTTCCAAGATATCCTTTTTGCGTACATTAAAAGTGGAACACTTTCCCCCCGTCTTAATCCAAAGAAACTTTATACTCACCTCCACGAATCCTTTTCCTTGCCATGTGCGAGGAGAATGGTTGTGCAGCTACGGTACCGCTTTCTCCTCTCAGGAGCGCACGGGAAAGAAAGTTTTTCTGCTGAAGGGTGCGGACTCCCGAATGCCGTTTCCGGACTCCCCCGCGCGTCCTATCATTTCTGGTTATTCTCGACATTTGCTTGCTCGCCGCGGTATTTCGGCATTAGTGCAGTAGTGCTGCGCCTTGGGCATAGCGTGGATTGAGTCGGTAACGGCACTCGGGTATCACTACCACAAATTCATTTCCGGGTGCTCTCAGGTGACAAAAGTGTTACAGCTGCCAACCCGTTCTTCGCTTTCGCATGTGGCACGGACTGTACTCGGAGATGAATGTACAGTTAGCTCTTAATTCTGAGTGCGAATATCCTTCCAATCAGTGTTTTCTTTATTGCGGTTTCCTCGGTGATATCCGAACTCCAAGACGTGTGACTAATATCATGATATTTATCGCTTTTATCTCACGAGCTTTCCTGCACTTGACAGTCCATCTAAGTACAATGGAAAACGGATGGAATGGTTTAAAAATGCTGTTTATCGAATTATGGTCCTGTACCATAGTTATTATCCCCGTTTTCTCCTGAAATATAAGAAAATTCGGGAGAAATGTGTTAAATCTTCTGCTGTTTTTAGTATCAGTGTAGTGGAACGACGATCAGTTCCTTCAGCTCCATTGAAAGAGTTCAATATGCGAACGCTGAAAATGTAAGTGATCGGGTGTTAATATCATTTCTATCTCCTGACTATTGAATATTTGGCTTTCAGACGCTACGAAAGTGTGGTCGATGCTCTTCACGAGAAGCAGCAGAATGCATGCCCGCACTGTGGTCAACGAATGGAGCTACGCGGAGAGCGCTATGAACGGCATCTTGATTGGCACGTGAAAAGGAACCTGAAAACGTTCGAGAAGACAAGCTCAAGTCGGCCGTGGTATGCTAGCAGTAAGGTAAGGTTTAGGGGGTCGATTAGCTAAACATGATTGGGGTGGGTCTATGATGGTCAGTGTTGTTTTTGTTACCCATTCGGCAAACTCGTTACCTAGCTAACTGTTCTGGCCGGCCTGAAGTAGGTAGTTGATTGAAGGTAGCTGCAAACGCACAAAGGCCGATGCTCATGTCTTTTTTTTACTGCTTTCCTTCGTATTCAACTCACGTGACGTTGTTTAGGATTGGCTGAAAAGTGAGGAAGAAGAGGAAACGGGCATCACTGTAACAAGCGGCAGTGCTGGTATGTTTGCCCAGCGGCTTTTTTTTTACATTTTTTCTCTTGTTATGTGCACCAATAAGGCATATCTTTTCAGAAACTATGGAGGAATCCGTCCCTATTATAGCGGTGTCTGCTCGGGAGGCCGTTAATAAGGTACGTTTACAATTCAGAGAGATCTTTTTCTCCATTGCATACTGCGCTCCTATGATTTTTCCAAAAATGTTTTCCAGAGTTGCGCTGTGTGTTGTGAAGAGTTCGAAGAATATTGTGACGAAGATGATGACGGTGTATGGAAACTCAAAGATTGTGTTATAGTAAATAATCAGGTATGTTTGCAAAAATGTGGTTGCAAACCAGTCACAGGATTGAATCATGAGGATCACTTATGAAAAAACTTCTGTTTCCAGGCATATCATACCGCTTGCGTTCAAGATGCGTCAGTTTTAGAAGACGTGCCACAGCAAGAAGCAATGGATACATGTGATACTAAAAGTGTTGTACAGGATAACAAGCTGTTAAATCTGTTGAAAACCACTCAATAGCAGCATCATTCGAGTTGAAAAATAGCAAAACAAGGGAAATGTTTGTATATACATTGGCTGCAAGTGATGATTGCAGTCCACATGGGTCTTCGGAACAGGCTACCGGTTTGCCTAAGTTCGGAACGTTTACTAGAATTTTATACAATAGAATAAAATAAATATTCGTTGTATTCTTGTGTTCTTGGTTTACTGTCGTTTATGTCTGTGTTTTAATGCTTGACAATAAATTTATGAAATTGACATTCTGTTTTCACATCACATGGTACAAGGCCAGTTTGATACTACGCGGGATCAAACATTCATTGCAGTGGAAGATGAATGGAAAATTGGAAATGATCGAAAATTATGGAGGGGATTCAGTGTTTTTTTTGGCAAGTGGCACGATAAACTCTGCAGGACATGGAGGATGAATACGCGTAGCAGGGCAGTTTTCGGCGCCCGTGGATAGGCGCTTCCTTGCGCCTTTTCCAAGGAGGATATCAATATGGTGCCCTGTCCACCTGGTCGTATTTGGTTGCTGGGGAGGGGGG